AAATACAAACATACGTCAAAATCATACAAATTGGTCCAGTGGTTCAAAAGATAGATCGTAGTCCTCTGTGACCACAGGAAGCATGGCTTTTCTGCCCAAAACCAGTTCCACAGCGTCTTCTATCCTAGGAGATAATTAGAAGTAATCCAATTATCTCCAAAGACAGAGGCAAAACTCCATTGAACACATGGCAGCAAAAAGACAGTAAAATACAATAAAATACACAAGGTTACATTTATTTTATGTATAAAATACAGACATGCAACATATGCCCAGATAGCTTAGGTCTGAGCGCACATTAATACTGAATGGCGCTCAGACCACAAACACATACAGTTCAATTGCCATGGAGCCAAAGTCTTTCCCATAGTCTTTCATTATACAAATGGGCTCCATGGCATAGCTATCTGGGGTATCACTGCTCAAACAGGGCAAGCACCAAATGACCCATCAAGAGTCCATAAGCCACAATATGCCCACTGACTGTCTTAAAGGGCCATACACGCCCAATAAAAGTGCATACGTTTTCACCATCTCCCAGGGGCCATAGTCATGTGGATGGAGGCTGGCAAATAGGCTTCTCCAATGCAATGTGGCGAGATTGGTCTCGTCACACACACACAGACATGTAAAAAGGTAAATCACTGCCAACTAAAATGATAAATTATATAATATTATTTATATAGCGCCAACAAATTCTGCAGCGCTTTACAGTGGGTGGACGAACCGACATGTAGTTGTAACCAGACAAGTTGGACACACAGGAACAGAGGGGTTGAGGGCCCTGCTCAATGAGCTTACATGCTAGAGGGAGTGTGGTAAAGTAACACAAAAGGTAAGCATAGTATTAGACTAATGACAGTTGCAAGAGAGGAATCAGTCGGGAGCTATTAACAGTTTAATTGATAAGTGGGTTTTTAATGATTTTTTTTTTTGAAGGAGTTGAGACTGGGTGAGCATCTAATGGAGGAGGAAAGTGAGTTCCACAGAAACGGTGCAGCCCTCGAGGTTTTGAAGGCGAGTATCGGAGGAGGGTGTACGGACAGAAGATGGGTGTAAGGGCCTACACTGGACATACTTGTGTATTAAGGAGGATAGATAGTGGGAGCAGCATTATGTAGAGATTTGAAAGCAAGAACCAAATATTAACTTGGGCAGCTACATACCAGGGCCGCCATTAGAAATTTTGGGGCTCCTAACACAGCTCAAGGTCTGGGCCCACGGTGCCCGCCTCCAAGCCCCGCCTCCAAACCACACCCACAGGAATACACACGGACACAAAGTGACACAGACACACACACACACACAGAAAGATACACAAATACTGAAACAGACATACACACATACTGACAGACTATATATATATATATATATATATATATACAAACTGACATACAGGCAGACATACATACTGACATACACACACACACACACACACACACACATACATACAGATATATACTAACATACACACATACACAAACAGGCATACATACATGCAGACACATGCCTATATACACACCTAATTTTTCAGCCTCTTCCTTACCTTTTCATTGGAGGAGGGTGGCTGGGGATGATGTGAGCGGATGTCTCCCCTCGGCTGTCTCTCCCCCTGCGCGGAGTAAGCTGGGAGGAAGTGACCGGCAGTCACTTCCTCCCAGCAGCACTTGCGGTGCACCCACTTTTTTTTATTTTTTATTTTTTAAAGGGGCCCGGTCACGCTATTGAATGGCTGCAGCGCTGACCGGGCCCCTGAAGATATAGGGCTCATCGGGTGGCCCTAAATGCTTTGGCCACCTGATGGGCCCCGGTGCAGATGCACCTGCGGCAGTTTCGCTGCTCCACGTGGGGGCGGCCCTGCTACATACTTGTGTAAGCGACTTGAGAAAATTTCATATTGTAAAAAATAGTGTGTGCGCTCCTAAACAATCTGTAAAACAAAAGACTGTCTCTCAAAAAACAAATTCTTTAATAAAAGGTAATATCACAGAATGTCGCGGGCTCGTCACACAATAGACACTAAGTGACTAGTGTTAAAATAAACCTCATATACACTAGATAATCCTGCGAACAATAATGATAAAAATTATATTATACTCATAGCTTATAAAAGCTGCTGATATAGTATAGATGATAGAAACTCCTAATAGAGCCTCTCAGGTCAGGAAAAAATGCAACAGTTTAAAAAAAAAATGAAGCAGCGTGTTGCAACCTGGCATGTGGGTACATTGTGTCGGTTTGTATCAAATATAGATCAGAGGATATACTGATACAGGATAAATATGTGCACACAAGCAATGGAAATAAAATACATATGAGAAAAAAGAAAGTGAAAAAACAGAGACCGGCAACTTAAAGGATCACTATAGTGTCAGGAAAACAAAGTGGTTTTCCTGAACTATGGTGCCCCCACCCTCAGGGTTCCCCTCCCGTGGCGCTGAATCGGTTAAAACCCATTCAGCCTTTTACCTTATTCCAGCGCCAGGCTCCCTCGGGGCTGGTTACCTCTCCTCCCCCACTGACGTCAGCTCCCCTGTCTGACGTCAGTGGAGCCGCATGCGCGGTAGTGCCACGCGCGCATTCAAAGTGTCCATAGGAAAGCATTTCTCAGTGCTTTCCTATGGACGCTCTACATGATGGGGGCATAATATGCCTCCAGCGTCGCAGATGCGCTTCTAGTTGCTGTCCAGAAGACAGCCACTAGAGGCTGACTTAACCCTGCAATGTAAACATAGCAGTTTCATAGACTTACAGATACACACACTGACAGATGCAGGCATTCAGATATACACACATACAGCTATACACATAGACACACAGATACACATGCAGAGACGTACAGGTACGCACATGGACACTGACATACAGATGTATAGATGCACACATTCACTCACACATAGACACAGACTGACACACATATATACAAATATGCACACTGATATACACCCTGACAAACACACAGATACACAAACATACAGATATGCACACAGATGCACATTGAAACACACACGGGCACACAGATGCAGACATTCAGATACACACAGATTCAAACACTATTGACAACCAAAACACATATACACATACCATTTGGGTTGCTTCTGTGGCTGAGGCTGTTGGGAGTTGAGCACGATCTCCTCTCCCGGTCCGCTCTGCCCCGACCCCCTTCTCAGCCCCTTTTTGCGTGGCTTAGTTACAGCTGGGAGGAAGTGTGTGTCTTGCTCTCACTTCCTCCCAGCTCTCCGGTCAGGTTAGAAGGGGTCCAGTGGTACAATTTCTGAAATAAAAGAATCTTGAAAGATTAAATACAGAGGTTCACTTATTTCCACACTTAGCTATTTAATATTGTCAAGCCCTGGAGCTTTATTTACATGAATTTTCTTTATCAGCTGTAGTACCTTGTCTTGAGACATCAAGTCACAATTTATGTTTTATGTGACTATAGTGTCCCTTTAACCCCTTAAGGAAACATGACATGTGACGATTCCCTTTTATTCCAGACGTTTGGTCCTTAAGGGGTCAAATAGGATGCCTCTGATTTTGTCAGATTTTAAATGCCCTTTTCTTATTTTTAATCTATTGGTTTTCTTTCCTACGAAGCCACACTAGTTTCAGTTTGTTTCTTTTATGTTTATTAGCCAGTGGTACATATTGCAAATGTACCTGCCTAATTTTCAAGCTATTGCATTTATCCTCAGTGTTTTTGTTTTTTCACTAATGAGTTTATGCCAGTCAATATGTGGTAGAGCTGCTCTAATCTTATTGAAGTTGGCTTTTTAAAAAATATTATACGCTTTAGTATACCTCACGTGCTTTAGCTTTTGAGTTTTTCAAAAGTCATGATATTGTGATCAAGATTTCCCAAATGATCCCCTATTTGAATATTGGTCAAAAGATCAATATTGTTTTGTTATAGCCAGATCTAGACAAGCATTCTTTCTGGTTGGTGCTTGTTCCAGTTGTGAAATTAAGGTGTCATTTAACACATTCAAAAACATGCTATCCCTTGCTGAACTACTAGTACCTCTGTCCCATTTTATGTCTGGGTCATTCAAATCTCCAATAATTAACGTGTTACCCAGATTTGCAGCTTTCTCAATTTGCTCTAGCAGCTGTTATTCCTCAATATTAGGTGGTTTATAGCACATCCCAACCAATAATTTATTTTGCACCAAGCAGATATTTACCCATAAAGTTCCACATTTTCCTGGCCACACTCCACATCTGAGCAGTGCCCACCGTAGGTGTCCTTAGGGGCCATGTAGGCACTGCTTTTTCTCTGAAAAGTTAGTGTTTGCATAAAAATGCCTGCAATGACTGATTATACTCACTAGAAAACTACATTAAGCTGTAGTTGTTCTGATGACTGTAGTGTCCCTTTAAAGACTTGGTGAAATGATAAAGTAGTATTAAGTGACCATTCGCAAGGTCAAAATAGCCAAAGTGAAATATTCTGTCTGCTATGCTTTCAGTTTGGCCTCTAATCTTAAAGTCTCACTTTATAAACTAACCCTGCTAGTTTTGTGTGTGACGTGACATTTTAATGGGGGGAGAGTTGTTGTTATCTATTATCTTTAGCCCAGGACTGTTACAGAAATGGATCTGTAATCGATCTTAACGTTATTGATAATTAAAGAAAAATTGACTTTATTTTCATGGATATTTATGTAGTGGTCTTTAAGTTGGTCTTTGTATGTGAAAATTTAAAATAAAGAATAAAAATAAGTTACTGATGATTAATGTGCCATTTAACCATGCCACAATCACTGCTATAACATCTATATTTTTTTGTCCCTAGGGTATAACTCTTAAGTTGAATGCTCAGCAGAGTTGCATAGTTGCACGTATACTACATGGGGGATTCATCCACAAACAAGGTGATTATTATTTTTTTTCAATTTCCGAATTAATTTTTCTGGTATTCTCTCCATTAAATTTCAGCAGGTACACTTTTTCACATTTTATATAAGTATAACAATACTGAAAAAAGGCTTCTATAAGCTAATTCTCACTTGGACAGACTTGTCACTCCTAAATGTATGAAATCTACTTATATTTCATACATTTAGGAGTGACAAGTCTAAGTGAGAACCTATTGAGAATTAAAGGAACAGTCTGAGCACAGTAACATCTACAGAGCACTGTAATTGTTATGGTAGCAGGATTGTGCTGGTCCGCCACTATAAATTAACCGTTTGCCAATGGTTTTGACTTTTTACCTGGATCCCGCGGAGTGCTGCTTCCTACCTCCTCCCTTCTAGTCCTGATGGCCAAATTTTCTCCTGAGGTTAAAAAAACCTTTTTGATCCAATTAGAATTAATAGAACAATCAACATAAATAGAACGTCATCGTGTAGAGATGTAACTATAAATAAATCTCAACAGAAGACTATTAAGAGGCCACAAAAAAAGTAACGCTTTAACTCTTAGAGCAGTCTATTTGCTTGCCTAGTTCATTTGTTCTCTTGATCGCTTTGTGTAAGGTTCAGGCTTACAGGAACATTATAGTTTGAGGACTACAAACATGCATTCCTGATGCTATAGTGACCTGCACACGGTTTCGTTTATCACTGCCTCCTCCCTTCTGTGAATTATAATGGTAGTTTTACTTCTCTCAATCCTGATGATCTCAGCCATTCCAGTGCTTTCCAATAGGGAAGCATTGGGAGGCTAGTGCACATGTGCTGGAATTCTCCCCACTTTGCACCAATCAAATGCTCTAGTAGCAGCTTTTGATTGAGAACAGAATTTGTCTCTGTTCCCATAGGGAAGTTCCTTTAGTAGCTATCAGGAATGCTGCCACCACTAGAGGTGTTTAACCCTGCAATAGAAACAGAGTTAAACTAAAGGGCCACTACACCCATACCACTTCATTGAGATGAAGTGGTCTGGGTTCCCTTACTAAGCCTTAAAGCCACAATCTCAGAATGTCCAGCCCCTTTGTTGCCTGATTAATCTCCTTGAACACCCTCACTTTCTTTGTGGTTAGAGTCTGAGTATAGGAAATATGCCAGGATGTTTTGTCCATTGTCAATGCATCCACTCATAGGAAGTGTAACATGCTTCCAGATAATTATGCTCCAGCTTCCTCACAAAATGTAGAATTTGTGAACACTGAAAATGCTCCTGCTTACTGTCTCTGGTGCACTACAGTCACCAGATTACTTACAAGAGGCAATGTCCTTGTCACTGTAACAAGCAAAGGGTCTAACTACAAAGAAAAAGGGGCTGGGAACCATAATAGTCATATTAACCCCTTAAGGACTGGACTGTTTTTGCAATGTTGTACATTTGCGACCAGGCATATTTTTACACTTTTGTGGTGTTTGTGTTTGGCTGTAATTTTCCGCTTTCTCATTTACTGTTCCCATACAAATTATATATTGTTTTTTTCAGGACAAAAGGGGCTTTTTTACATACCATTATTTATATAATCTCATGTATTTTAATTTAAAAAAAATAAAAAAATATGATGAAAAATTGAAAAAAAATACATGTTTTTTGACTTTTACTTGAAAAATCTTTTACTCATCTACAAAAGCGAATGAAAAAAAACTGCTAAATAGATTCAAGATTTTGTCCTGAGTTTAAAAATACCTAGTGTTTACGTGCTTTTTTGCTTTTTTTTGCATGTTATAGGGCTATAGGTACAAGTATTGCGGTTTCAAAACATACATTTTTAAAATTTATCAATAGTGACATTGTAACACTATTATCTGTCATAAATCTCTGAATAACACCCCACATGTACATATTTTTTTTAAAGTAGACAACCCAGGGTATTCAATATGGGGTATGTCCAGTCTTTTTTAGTAGCCACTTAGTCGAAAACACTGGTCAAAGTAAGCATTCATATTTGTTTGTGTGTGAAAAAAGTAAAAAAACTAAATTGAATGCTAATTTTGGCCAGTGTTTGTGACCAAGTGGTTACTAAAAAAGACTGGACATACCCCATTTGCAATACCTTGGGTTGTCTTCTTTTGCAAATTGTATGCCATCATGGGGGTAATTCTCATTCCTGGGCTACCATACGCTCTCAAAGGCAACGTAACCAACCTGGCCATTTTCAATGTAAAAATATTTGACCCATATATTTGACCTTGTAACTTTCAAAAATGCTATAAAACCTGTACATGTGGGGTACTGTTTTACTCGGGAGACATCGCTGAACACAAATATTAGTGTTTAAAAACTGGAAAACGTATCACAACAATTATATCATCAGTAAAAGTGCTGTTTGTGTGTGAAAAATGCAAAAAAAGTCACTTTCACTGACAATATCATCGCTGTGATATGTTTTACCGTTTTGAATCACTAATATTTGTGTTCAGCGAAGTCTCCCGAGTAAAACAGTACCCCCCATGTACAGGTTTTAGGGTGTCGTAGAACGTTGCAGGGTAAAATACAGTGCTAGCAAATTAAATTCTCTGGAATTTCGGCCTGGGTTGGCAGGCAGGTCCCTCAAATTGCAATCAATAAAATTACTGAATTATGTAAAATATTACATAAATACGCACGTAGAATTTAAATATATATGCATATTTATATATTTGAAGTCTACGTGTATATTTATATAATTATTTATGTAATTTTGTATATGGACATATGTATATTTCGTATTTTTATTTATTTTTATATACATAGATATATATACAAATTCATTCTAAGTGTATTTTGATATAAATATATATATATTAATTTTAAAATACAGTTAGAATAAAATTTCATATAGATATATAATTTTTTTTTAAATTTTTATTATTTAAAAAAAATTTATTTAATTTAAATTACTTATTATTTATATTTTATAATAATATATATATACAATATATATAATTATTATATATATTATATATATACGTGTGTTATTTAATTATAAGTGTATTTTTATATTAATATAAATACATATTAATATAAAAATACACTTAGTATGGCATTATATATATATGATATATAGACATATATTATATTGATATAATATATGTCTATATATCATATATACACATATATAATTATTATTTTTTTAATTAACACTAACTTTATATTTTTTTCTGATTTTACACTAGCAGGGAGACTGCCTGTCAGCACAGACAGTCCCCCTGCAAGCAGACACATGGACACCCATTGTGACCATGTGATCGCTGTGTTAAGCGATCACATGGCCACAGGGGTCCTAATTCAGTGTGGGGAGACTGTCTGGGCTGCAGGCAGTCTCCCCACAACCGGAGCCACGCTGATCGCCGCCGGGGGAACGACGGCGATCAGGTAAGTAGCTCAGACCATTAGGACGGTTCAGGACCGTCATCGGTCGGCAACGCAAAAATGCCGATGACGGTCCTGAACCGTCCTCGGTCAGGAAGGGGTTAAAACTATAGTATTAGGAATACGTGTTTGTTTTCTTGAAATTCTAGTGTTCCTTTTAAGAGCTTTGAAATTCTAAAAAAGACGCAGATTCTAAATCTTAACAAGATGCAGATTTAGACAGATTTCAGAAACTCTGATAACTTGCTGGTTAATTTTTAATGAAGGTTCAAATGTCCTTGGTCTTAAAAGAACCCAATTTGTAAGACATTTTGGTGTTTGATTTTATACATATCTGTTGATCTATCTGGTTTTCAGATGTCTAGTTCTAGAAGTGATAAGAATGTAACTCCACCACCTCCTCCCCCCTGCACAGAGTTGGGAAGTGCAGAATGTGCTCCCCGTTTACCAAATGGGTCTAGGAAGAAATATTGCTATTATTTATATAGCGCCATCAGATTCCGTAGCGCTGTACAATGGGATCAGTCCTCTAAAGATGCTATTGCTGAATCCAAACAAAAGGAAATTGGTTCCGTTCCAGCATGGTTTAAGAAAAATCTGCAACAAACCTTGAAAGGAGCACAGGTTCTTCTGAATTTTCCAGTAAAGTGTCTGACATGGAAACAGGTTTTCCAGTAGTGCAAATTAATAGTCATTAGCTCCTTGGTGACCTTACTGTTAAGGACCAGGGCTCTTTTTACATTTCTGCTGTGTTTGTGTTTAGCTGTAATTTTCCTCTTACTCATAGGAGGGTTGCCTATACCTGCCCTAGGGTATTTCAAATGGTGGTATTTTAACACTTTCCATGCATTAATTCTACCACCAGTCTCTGTCAAACTTTTGGGTAGTCATTTTTTTTTTTTTTTCTCTCACATTGTACTTTAGGCATGGATTCTCAGTTCCTGGTATGTGTTTCTGACAAAGAAACCCCCAATATGTGTTCAGCAACATCTCCTGAGTACAACAGTCAGTGCCCCCAATGTACAGGTTTTATGGGATTTTGCAAACTTACAGGGGTCAAATGTCGTATTGCCCTGTTACAGTCTGTAATGAATGCCGCCGCCAGACTGATTTTCCTCTCTAGTCGGTCCTTACATTGGCTCTCTGTATCCTATAGAAGTCAATTCAAAGTGCTAACCCATTTAAAGCACTGAACAATTCTAGCCCCTCTTATCTCTTCACAGATCCATAGGTATGCCCCTCCTCGTTCCCTCCGCTCTGCCCTTGACCACCTCCTGACAGCTGCTCGCACCCGTACAGCCAACTCACGCTTGCAGGACTTCTCGCGGGCGACTCCTTTCCTATAGAATAGCCTGCCTACCCCCATCAGACTCTCTCCTAGTCTTCAATCGTTTAAAAAGGGCCTTAAAACACATCTCTTTAGGAAAGCTTATGGCCTCCCAGTAACCTCTACCTTACATACCTGTCTCTTGCTCTCTCCTATAGGGCAGTGCTTTACTCTCTCCTCCAGCTCTGCTTCACTCCCACCCTGTTTGATTGATATTTCCTGTCCTAACATGTCTTACACCCCACCTCCTATAGACACTAAGCTCGTTTGAACAGGGTCCTCTTCAACCTATTGTTCCTGTAAATTTTCTTGTAATTGTCCTATTTATATTTACATCCCCCTCTCATAATATTGTAAAGCGCTACGGCATCTGTTGGCGCTATATAAATGGCAATAATAATAATACGCTCTCGACTCTACAAACAAACCTGTAAGTTTAAATCTATACATCACAAACATGACCATTAAGTTAGTTACAACTTCATAAGTGTATAACCTCTATTAATAAATCACAT